CCTTTTTGCGTCTTTGCCTTGCACCTTCAAATCTGTGTGCAGGACCCAAATGTGCCTAATATTGTATCTTAAATAGTTGTAATGCGTAACTATAGAAGAACAGCCTGTGTGTGTGGTCAAAAAAGAGTAGTGTTTATCATACTTAGACTGAGGGCATTGTTATATGATGTTCTAAAAGGAGGAACACTCTGCAATGTTAGATCAGGATGGAGAAACATCATCAAGTTAAAGTAAATCTGGAAATATGATGGTATCATGCACGGTAAATTCTCTGTTTCTGATACTGATGATTGTTATTTCAGGTAATAATAATAGAGCCATTTTATGACTGTTATGAACCAATGGTAAAGATGGCGGGTGCAAAGCCTGTTTTCATCCCACTGAGATATGTGAGTAGCTTTTTAAAAATTATTTGTGATGTAAAGTTTCTCATCCATACTCAATACAGTTTGATGAACACCACCTAGGCGATGCTTTTCTGTATAGTTTTTCATAATATCCAATTATGTATAAATGAGATAGATTGTTATAGTGTAAGTGTGAGAAAATGATAATCCAAAGCAGATAGAATATGTTATTAGCATTTGAGAAGATGGGACAATTGTTTCTCATTTACTTTAATTTCTGCATTCAGAAAGCTGATCAAAATTCCTTTTTTTGGATGTCATCAGAGAATGTTTTCAGGGCAAATAAGGGAAGGAGGATGACATATCAGTGCAATTTCTGTATCTGCTGGGTTTCAAAAGAATTGGTTTCTGATCCCTTCAGCAACTCCTACAATGACAGATTATAATTGCTTTTCCAAAATCTGCTTACTAGATAAGGAATGATCATGCAGTAGACATATTTGCTATACATACAAGAATTACTGTTTCCTTTATTGGTAAAAAAGAATGATTTTGATATGGGTTAATTTTCAAATTGGTGCTGCTGGCATTATGCTGGCAGCTTGCAAGGATTGTTCTGGATGCAAAGTGTTGATCCTGTTCCTGTTGCCTTGGGTGACTGGCAGCCTTGCATGGGGAGGGCTGAGGGGCTCTTAAGGCAGGACTGTTCCACAAACACCATGAAATCAGAGCAACACAGAGACAAAACCTCCAGGACTGCAGTGGGAGTAGGTGAGACTCTTCCTCTGGGTGCTCTCCTTCTAGGGATATTTTGAATGATGGGGTTCCTCTGAGTATTTTCTGTTTCACACTCTTGTTTTTGGTCCGGCCCTCTCCCAGTAATGTGCGGGTGTCAGAAAGTTAGTGTGGCCATGCTCTTTGTTCTCTGTAGCGACTGGCCCAAACTTCTGTTGTCCTTGTGTAATACCACAGCAACTCCAGAGCCCCAGTGGTGCAGAGTTTTAACTGTTTGGCTATTTTTGTAGGGACAAGGAGGAAGAAAAGACCTTGAATCTCTCCAGCGGTGATCAATCTTTTCAGCCAAGCATACAGACACTTGTAGAAGATTATGGGAAGGCCATAAACTCCCCTGTCATGTGACTGGCTTCCTGCATTACACACTGTTATAATCAGCATGTGTATAACCAGATCCTGGAAACCAGTTCCTGGGGAGGCTTTAAGACAGACAGTAGCCAGGAGAGGACAGCCACTGTCATGATAATTTACCTTGCTCTTAGCCTCCCTGCCTGTTCCTAGAAGTGCCTTCTCCCAGGAGAGCAGGACAGATTGGATAGGTTATCAAGTATGGTTATGAAGGTCTGTAAGGGTGATAAGTTCAGCATCTCTGTTTAGTCAACAATGTATGCTGTAGACAACAATAACATGCTGTATTCAAGTAATGCATAAATTTACTGGTTTTTTTTTTTTTTTTTTTAAA